TCGCTTGAATAATGGTTTGAAGCGGCTTTTGATTCGTAAAAGTGATGCGGTTTTGTGAATTAAGTGTGAACCGCGCGTGTGAACTATTAGAGAAAACGACGAAACAAGTGCTTTGATGTCGATATAAACCTCAAGTTATTTTGATCGCTTGGGCGCCTTATGAACTTGAGTGGCTGTCGTCATCAACTGTCCGCTAGGTTGAGCTGTCGTTAAAATCTCCCAAGGGCTTCGCAATGAGATGCATCAGCATAATGTGAAGAAAAAGAATATAAAAATGAAAATTCCGAAAGAAATGATAGGCTCAGAAGGGCTAGAACGCAGAGCCGTAAAGCCAGCTAATAAAAAAAATACACGCCACAGTGTAAATATTTGCAATAGATCAGCTGAATTGAATACTATAATAATTGAATTGTTACTTTTCTGCTTTATTTCGTCAGATTTACATTTTATTATTTAGTATATTATAATAAGTTGAAGTTTTACATTATCTACTACTTTTATTAATGAAACAAAGGTAGGTTGTTACGTCACCGTTTCAGCCCATTAAAGTCCACTGCTGAACATAGGCCTCGCCCGTAGATTGCCCCATAGTTGCCACGCTTGGCAAGCGGGTAGGTAACCGCAGTTTTTATATTTTTAGTCGTTATTACGAAGACGCTGCTCCATGTTCTGACTTTTTCCCTCCGTCGCCTGTTACGACACCCGCGGGATTATATGGAGTAATGATTATTAATACACCGGCACTACACCGCCCGGTAGGTTGTTCACAGAAATGTATTTGTAAATTTACAATACCCACCCAGTAATGTAAATTGTCAACAGTGGACGGTTCGTTTACGTTTGTTAGCGACATCTAATGAGTGTAAGAATATTAAGCCCCAATGTGAAGGCTTTTCTTTTACCAGCACACGGTCAGCCGCCATAGCTACGGTATACTAATGTTATAATTTAAAATTTACTAGCGATCCGCATCGCTTCGCACGGGAATCCAATTGTGAATGTAAACCATCCAGGGACCCACCCACACGCATACAAAACATTTCATCATAATCAGTTCAGCCGTGCTCAAGTGATGATCTTTCATATGTGCGGCAATAGGTTTTATTTATATAATTCTTTACTATAATATGCATTTTAATAATATGTATTTTACATATAAACCTTCCTCTTGAATCGTTCTGTCTATTGATGAAAACCTCATTAAAATCCGTTGTAAGTATAATCCGTTGTGTAGGAAGCGACTTTGTTTTATACCATATCTGTCTGTCTCTAAAACATCTATCTCTATCTAAAAAAAAAACTCTTATTTCAGCTAGTCAGTTATATACAGCGAGTATTGTGGCCAAGTGCAGTAAGTTTTAAAAGTTTATGATCATATAAAATAAAAGATCTAAAATAATTAAGCTTGCGTTGTCTTATATAATATAAGCGATATATTATTTTTTTGTTTACTTATGAACAAAGAAAGCAGGACGAAAAAGGGTTGTTAGGATAAGGTAAAAGAAGACGATAGGAATTTAAAACGTTATAAAACTTTGGTGTAGCTAGTTTGTGCTGATTATTTTTTTTTTTGGACTATAACACAATTGTAAACTTCATAGTTGTATGGTGTTACACCAATCACTGATTACTGAAAAAAAACATCTGAACGTAATTTCAGCCGCTCCGACAAGTGTCATTGCGGGAGTATCGATCAATAACATAGAAAATTATAATACACCATAGAATGGCTGTCAACTTTATTTTGTACGAGAGTCGGCGTCGCCGGGAGCACATATAAGCAATTACGTCGTATTATCACTACTATATCCGTTGTTACCTTTAAAATGACACAGAGTTTTTGTTTTAAAACTTATTTTGTTACAATTATAATATATAGGTATGTACAGAAATTTAACTGTGTGTATGTTCCAAAAATATATTTTTAAATATTTTGTATAGAAAAAAGCAAACTGTGTTTAGATTTCACTAACTAATAAATGGATAGAAAAAATAAACTACTTGTTTTATTTAATGACTGAGTTTTATGCGTTGACACGAGGTTAACTCACGTGGTATCTGCAGGCCTTTTCATTAATTTTGTTAACATCAAACAGATATAATGATTTCTCTCATTTACGCGAATACTACACATGGAATAACTAAAACTAACTTAACGGATTTTATCGAGTTTAATTTTAACTGTATTAATTAAAAAGATAGACACTTTATAGTAGACTGCGTTGTATGTTTTAAAATACTTCAGCTCTTATAAAAAATAAGCAATGTACTTCAAAGCTGTCAACGAAATTGGCGAATAGGCCTGTGACCATCATTACTGGTGACGAATATAAAAAACGCAATAAAGGATAAAAAATGGGTATATTATGATTAAAAGTTTTATTGATTTATGAATAACAAATAAAATCTTAGTTATTTGCTACACTTTTCAAATGAAAACATTATGACAGAAATAAGAAATACAATAATATACAGTGTGTCCAGTCACGGACTAGCGATATTTTAGGTACTTATAATACAGCTATTTTAATATAAAAATACACTACACACTGAGGTCTAATCCCCTCCCCCTCCATTTGGCAGCCATTTTGTTTTTCTCTTGAGATATTCTCTACGCGTTTACGAAAAAAGTCATATCTCTGAAAGTTTTAGTCTTACTGAGATAAAAATTAACTCATTCGGAGGCCAATAATATTGTTTATCGTTTACATTATCAAAATTTTTGTTGACATACTTGTAACTTTGAAGAAAAAAATTTAACTTCAAATAAATATCAAAAAAATATGCTAATCGGCAAATTATTGTAAATTACTGCAAAAACAACCCCGTTTATCCTTCTTATTTTTATACTAGATCGACAGATTTTGAGTTAAGCTACAATGCAACATAAAGTTTACAGCTGTATGTTTATTACTTTAAGAATTATTGTTGTTTGAACATGGCGTATGCCCAAACACAAAAGGCCTTTGTTAAGTGACAACTGGCACTGCCTGCCTAGGAGTAATAGTGTTGTGTGCTGCCTGCTCTCAAATTATACTACTTATAAATGATGAATCTGACTCTCTGATCTCTAATTCATCATCTCTAATTTATCGAAGATCATAAGTAATCTCAGATTACTAAAATCTTTATTTTATGAAAACTAACTAACACTAAAATGAAGTTCTTGGAACTAGAAAGAGTACAGAGATTATTATTTAAAGTGATGCACTTTAAGCCCTACAGATTCCCTACTAAAGAGCTATACACCCTATGTGACCACCTTTCGGTCAGGAAGCTGTATATCCTTAACTCTGTATTAAGATTGCACAGGACGCTGATATATAACCCCAAAATTTGCGATAGAAGAAGAGGACATGCTGTGGCACCAGTAGTACCCATGAAAACGAAATTCGCTAGGAGGCAATTTAGAAGTCAGTCTGCTCATCTCTATAACTATACTAATAAAAAACTTAACATATATGCAACGACCAAGCATAATGTGAAAAAACAACTTACAACGTGGTTAAAGACGATAGAGTATGAAGAAACTGAAAATTTATTGAAATAAATAGAAAAATTACACCATTGTGCGCACGCACACACACACACACACACACACACACACACACACACACACACACACACACACACACACACACACACACACACACACACACACACGAGAGCGCGCGCGCGACCGCACGCACTCGGTTTAATCTTTACATATGCGCAATTTTATATGTATCTAAAATTGTTATGGAAGAGCGGGGTCCCCTAACACAGGTATTGATATACTTAAAAGCAGCCTAGTTAATGTATTTAAATTTAAGATACTGAATAAAGAATTTTGAATTTGAATTTGAATTATCTCAGTATGACTAAAACTTTCAGAGATATGACTTTTTTCGTAAACGCGTAGAGAATATCTCAAGAGAAAAAAAAATGGCTGCCAAATAGAGGGGGAGGGGATTAGACCTCAGTGTGTAGTGTATTTTTATTTAATTTAATTTATTTATGTACACACATTAAAGTACAGAAGCAGTCTTATAGTAATTACGTACAAAGGTTCTACTTATTCCAAATTCGCTGAAATATCTTCCAGTAGACCCATAAAGGAAATTATATTTAAATTGCAAACTTAGTGCATACATTAGTACTACAAAAAAATAAATAATATACACAATGTTACGGAAATTATATAAAATAAAACAAAAAATAAAAATAAAATAAATCAATAAATAATAATAATAATTGATACGATAGTTACATATGATATATATATATATATATACATATATATATATATATATATATATACATATATATATATATATATATATATATATATATATATATCATATGTAACTATCGTATCAATTATTATTATTATTTATTGATTTATTATATATATATATATATATATATATATATATATATATATATATATATATATATATAATTAACAGGATGCAAAGTAGTTATCTCTAAGACGTTTCTTGAATATCAACAAAGTTTCGGAATTTCTTATATTTGACGGTAGTGAGTTCCATAATCTTACAGCGTGAACTGAAAAGGAGTTGGAGTAATAACCGGAATTAAAGACGGGAAAGTCAAGAAGATTTTTAACAAGGGCTCTGCATGGTTTGTCCGGAGGATGGGTGAAGGAAAATCGGCTTCTGAGGTATGTGGGAGAGGAAGGGTTGTGCAAAATGTTATAGAGGACACATAACAAGCGAGTGTTCCTTCGAAGTCGAATAGGAAGCCACTTGAGTTGCTTACGAAACTGAGATATACGGTCAAATTTCTTGAGCCCAAATATGAAACGGATACACTGATTTTGCAAGCGCTCAAGTTTATTAAGAAGCTCCTCTGTAGCATCCAAATAAGCTTATAGGTACTTATAATAGAGCTATTTTATATTAAAATAGCTCTATTATAAGTACCTAAAATATCGCTAGTCCGTGACCAGACACACTGTATAATTTTATAAAACACTGTACGATATGGAGATACATAAATCAAGAGCATCCCATTTCCTCCTGCCAGTCGACGTGCTTCTTGGCCAGGTTTTTAGACACGGGCTTGGTCCTCTCTATAGCTGCCATTATGTCCGACAAGTCCAGGCGGTCTTTGCGACCGGACTGACCTAAAACAATTAAAGAATATGTGTCTAAATGGTTAAAGTTCTTTGCTGCCTATGAGTCTGTCTGGGTAGCTACTACCCTCTTTCTGTCGCCAATAAACCTGCACTGCTGTGTTCCAGTCTGAGGGGTACAGAAAGCCAGTATAATTACAGGCTGTGAAGCATTCCACCATAGAACTTAGAGGTGACCATGCAGCTGTAGCTAGGGATGCCTATTCTTTCCGAAAAAGATCGATTTTTAAATCGATTCTAATCTAAATCTGATGAATCGACTCACAAAAAAAATCGAGGTCTAAATGTTCGATTTCTCAAAAATTGATCTTTTTTCGATTTGCTTTCAGATTTATAAAAAGTAATAATAATAATAATAAGCTTTTTATTTGTCTCAGTTTACACATGTTATTAAAAATTTACAAATAGAAATCATCACAAACTTAACTTAGAAACATACTTAAGTAACATAACAGTAATGAGACAAACAGGCCTGTGACTCAGCTATGTGGTGATTTTAGGTCACCTCTGGTATTCTTCCACAGCCGACTATTTAAAAAAACACAGTATATTAACCTAATTTTGGCATTGACGTTATACAACTAAAGAATAGACTAAAATGTTTATTCATATGTGCTATGCAAATTTAGTAAGTGGTAGGAAAGGAGACAATCGCCTCTGGGCCTACCAGAAACTTCAACGACTCTCAATGGTATTAGTAAGAATTAAGTCTGTAGTTATATATAATACTTCATACCTGCCTCCAACTTTTGATTGAAACCACGAACACGCCGTTTCGGAAAAACCAAAGATTTTTAATTTTGCCAGTAAAAGTGGTATATTAACGCAGTCGAAAGATTGAGAAAAATCAAGTAGCACTACAATAGTACCTTGTCCATTATCAGCGGCGGTAAGAATATCGTCCGTAACGTGTAATAATGCTGTAGTTGTGCTAAATTTTTGCCGGAAACCCGATTGGAAGACCGGAAGAATGGCATTATTTTTAAGATAGCTAGTAATTTGTGACTGTGCACACTTCTCAACTATTTTCGACAAGGCAGGCAATATACTTATTGGCCTGAGGTCATCAAAGCTGTCTATTTTCTATTTCTTAGGTATATTTATGATCAATGAGCACTTCCAAACATCGGAAAATACTCCTAACAATGATTTATTAACGATGGCTTCAATGCCAACTAAAAGAGTATGGTAATGTAAGCTTAATCATATTCATGCAAATTTCATCACATCCTTTGAGAGTTAGTAAGAAAAGGAATTAATAATCTTCTGTAGCTCTGATGCACTCACTCTATTAAAATTGAACTCCGATAAGTTACTCCTACGGGTACTTTCAAAATTTTCGAACTGTTTCAAGTCAACCGACAACACAGGAACACTATTTATGAAATGTGTATTAAGTTTTGTGGCATCCAAAAGATGTTCAGGAATTGATTTACTAGAACCGTTCTTAATTGTTTTATTAATGTGCCGCCACATTAAAGACGGATTATTAATATTATTATTTACAAATTGGGTAAAATATGCCTGTTTCTCAACACGAACATCACAATTATATATGTTGCGCATGTCCTGGCAAAATTTAATAGCTGATTCGGAATTACATTTTTTAGCTTTCCGGCAAGCTTTATTACGAATATTTCTCATATTCATAAGAGTATTGGTCATCCATGGAGATGGGGGATTTTTAAATTTACGTGTACATACCGGTGCAAAAGTATCTATTAGGTCTAAAATAAGAAAATTGAAGAAGTTAACCATATCATTAAGTTCATTATACTCCAATATGAGTTCCCAAGGAGTGAATGCAGATGCTTTCTTAATATATTTGGTATTACCTGTCAGTGGTCTTTATTGCACGGTACGGTGTTTTCTATTAGGGATTTAATAGGAAATGTCCATGATCACTTAATTCATCATTATGTACAACATCTACCGATGTGGGCTGCAAATTAACTCTAGTAAATATGACATCAATAAGTGTCGAAGTATGCGGCGTTATACGAGTCGGTAAATTAACAATTTGATGTAGCTTGTAGGAGTTAGTAAGAACTTCGAAACACTTAGGTAGAGTTACATGATTGTTACGATCTATACAGTTTATTTAATATCACCGACAAGAAATACATGCTCGTAATTAGATCCAAATATTGATAAAGATTCGTTAAGCGCATCGATTGCGATATCTTGACTTACAAGCTCAAGTCGATAAGCAATTCTAATTAATAAACTATGTCGCTTAATTTTAATATCAATCCATAATTGTTCAAGTATGGAATCGGGATGATTAAGTTGTTTTACACGTAAATTCGACCTCACATATACTCTGTTAGACAAACGACGTCAAAGTTAGCCAACCGAAATGAGGCTTCAAGTTCATCCCAACCCGTATTAAGCGAATGAACATTTAAAAGCACCGTGATAAACTGTCTACTTTTGTTTTGTGAATTGAATTCTGTCATATTTATGCACGCGACATTGATAGTGAAAGAAAAAAAAACTATAGTCTACACAGAATTAGGACTTATTTTTTTAAACTATCCACGTTAACTATTTGAATACACTCAGATTTTTTTGTTTTCCGCACAAAATTTTTTCCATTTTTGACCCAGACAAACCTGAAGCCTCGTTATTTTGCATGAGCCCTTGTTGCAGCATGCAGTTCTTTGTTATTAGCCGTCAGATGTTCTGCTATATAAATCGTTTTCGGTGGATCAGATGCAATTCCTAGCAGGCTGGTGTTGAGCTTACCTACTCTTACTTTCTTTGTTATATTTACTTGCTCTGGCAATGAAGGAGTCACGTATACGCTGGTTATTAAATCTTACAAGAACTGATCTTGGCCTGGTGCTTTGAGGATTGTGTATCGAAATTCTTATACAGTGCGAAATATCGGTTTCGTTAATATTACTTATAATCGTTTTATTAATTTATAACTTCTCCTATCTGAATAACGGTATTTAATATGTTTTCCTCCTTATTTTCTGGTAGACATTGTATTTCGATGTTAGACGATTTAGCGAATTGTTCTATTATGTTTAAATTATTCCTTAGACTGTGAACGGAAGCTTTCAATTTCTCATTATCAACTTCAAGATTTTTTTATGATAATTGATTTTTCTGCAAGGTTTCTTTTCATTTCTTCAAACTTTTCATTAAATAATGTCATCGATTCGTGAAAAGTGGCAATTTGCTGTATCTCCAACTGTTCCGATACTTGCACTTGGATTACTGATTTTAGAGCAACCGTTATTTCCTCCTTAATGATTTTCCGAAGATTTTTAATGTTTAACATAGTCTCTGAATCTAAGTCATCAATAATGAATGATTTGGCTGTCCGCATAGTGACATTATTGTGGTCATGATTATCCTCAGTAGTTACGTTGTACCAGTTCTGGCGCACTTGTAGAAAGGTTGTACCAGTTCTGCAGTTCTGGCGCACGACATTCGTCGACTCACAATACTAAAAAAAAAAAAAAAAAAAAAAAAGGTTTTGGCATGCTCTGATCACGAATCCTTTATATTCCTCCTAACACCCCAATAATTAACATTTTTATATAAAATTGACGTGACAACAAAAGAAAATACAGTACTCCTGATGATAAGTGGCTACCGCAGTCCATGAACACCTGCACCCAACATCATAAGGCTACAGCTAGGCAAGTTGATCTGATGTCGATTAATCGAAGAATCGATTTCTTGGGCCAAAAGATCGATTTTTGATCGATATATAGTACTGAATCGATATTTAACCCTAGAAAAACGAGATCAAGTCCTTTTCTGTTTTCATAAAAACTATAAAATCCATTTTTGCGTAGGATGCACGGTTTCGGAGATGTGCAGATCAATTAACTCTTATCTAATTGATATCCGCTGCGAGCCTCAACCGTCATTAGCGCTCCATTGTCCTTATCTACTTATCTATTGTTGATTGACTACCGTCATTATCTATTATTCGTCCAGCGTGTGGGTCGGCTTATGCTATTGTATTATACTCCTTTGTTCCTATCTACAACACTAATCTGAATCATCAATAAAACACATTACCTAAATTTGTTAAAATTTTTATTTATAAAATACAAAATCTTATTACTTATTATCTATAAAATAGGAGTGAAACATCTCATCCACTAACATATCGTTGTACAATGTGTTCTCTGTAAATATACTCGTAAAACTATGCATTGAACATCCCTGAAACTTATATAGCAAATACATTAAGCAATATTCGCCACAAACTGAAGTCCTATCAACATTCCAGTTCCATCTTTTACAATTTCGTACAAGTGCCCGTCCATATGAATCAAAATATTCACCGACGTCATTCGTATCGATATATAAAGCTACCCAATGTGACCCTGGTTTATCATCTGTACCCAAATTGCATATTACCTATCATATGTCATAAATTCTATCACATGTTTAATGTAAAATAATTGAAACAAGTTTATTCATTATGTAACCATTTATATACCAAAATGAACTTAACAAAACATAGATTCTTATGACACTATAGTTTATTCAAAATGACCTCCGTAATTTTGAATACAGGCCTTCAATCTGCGCGGCCAGTCGTCTATCTCACCACGAACGAGGTCCATGTCATATCGGCGGCTGCCTTAATTAAAGATGTCTTGAGTGACTCGAAATTGGGATGAGGCTTTGAGCACGCCTTTTCCTCCAAGTGTTAACATATCTTGTAATCTAACGGATTCAAATCTGGACTGGTCTTTGTGTCGGATGAAGTCGATTTCACGCGCCGGCAGCCAGGCTTTTTTTTTTTTTGTTTTTAAAGAATGTTACCTCCACACTAGGTTTTTCTCCTGTATCGTGGGGGCAGTTTACAAACACAAATTTCACAAGGACAAACATCCAAACTCGGAACAATTACTTGTAGGTCGTACAAATACTTGTTCCGTGCGGGATTCGAACCCGCGACCCCCAAGCGCATCCACTCATTGCTAAGCCACTACGCCACGGAGCTGTCAAAAGTC